GGCAGACAGGATCCTGGCCCCACTCACACCCTGCCCTACCAGCCTTCAAGAGAGCTACATGGTGTTTCCAAAAATATTTACAGTGAGTCTTCAGAGTGAGTCTAAATTAATGAGGTACTGTATCAGTGCTGACAATGGGAGGATGTGAGTCTGGGCCCTCCAGGGGAGAAGACCAACGCAATTGGCACAGAAGCTGCCCCGGGCCACAGGAGCTTGGGGAAAGCCAGCCCTGCACTGCTGAGGGAGGAAGCCAAGGCCTCCACCTGGGGCCAGAGCAGGTACTGGAGGCACACTGCGCTGTCCAGGCTGCACAGAGCACACCCGCCCCCGGAGTGGGACCACATCCTAGACCAGCAGTTCTCAACCTTCTGGCCCTTTAAATACAGTTCCTCATGTTGTGACCCAGCCATAAAATTATTTTTGTTGCTACTTCATAACCGTAATGTTGCTACTGTGATGAATCGTAATGTAAATATCTGATATGCAGGATGGTCTTAGGCTACCCCTGTGAAAGGGTCGTTCGACCGCCAAAGGGGCCGCGACCCACAGGTTGAGAACCGCTGTCCTAGACCCTCACAACTGCAAAGAGCATTGTCAACCTGCCTCCTCACCCCAGCCCAGCACAGAAATCTCCTCTATTGCCCCCCAGCCTCAGGGTCACCTGGGGGTCTCTTGAATAACTCTATTGACCAGACACTCACTCCTGAGCCTGGCAGCCCATTCCCATTCCAACTGAGGGCATCACTGCTCATTGAAAAGTATGACCTTCAACAGGGCAGAGTGGTTCAGAGCACAGGGCTACCACTCATAAGTCACGTTGCCATGGCAATGAGCCAATCATTTCAAGCCTTAGTTTTCTCATCTGTATAATGGGAGTCATTATAGTATCTACCATTTGGGGTTCATAGGAGGATTCGACAAGACAGTAGAGGTAAAGTCCCCAACATGGAGGGGATGTCACATGGGCATTGCCTTCCTGTATACTAACAACAAAACTTCAGAAAAAGAAATGGGGGCGGGGAGAACAATTCCTTTGCAATTGCAAAAAATAAAATACTTAGGAATAAACTTAACAAAGAGCATGAAAGACCTACATATTGAAAATTACAAAGCATTATTAAAAGAGATTGAAAAGGGCACAACAAAAATGGAAAAATATCCTGTGTTCATGGATTGGAAGGAATCAACATAGTTAAAATGGCCATATAGTTAAAATGGCCATATTACCCAAAGCAATATACAGATTTAATGCAATCCACATCAAAATCCCAATGTCATTTAAAAAAAAAAATAGAACAAGAAATCACCACATTTGTATGGAACCACAAAAGATCATGAATAGCCAAAGCAATCCTGAGAAAAAAAGAGCACAGCTGGAGGTATCATGCTACCTGACTCCAAATTATATTACAGAGCTAAGATAATCAAAACAGCATGGTATTGGCAGAGAAACAGACACACAGATGAACTGAACTGAATAGCGAGCCCAGCTATAAAACCACATGTACCAGTATATGAACAGATAATTTTCGATAAAGGAGCCAGAAACACACAATAGAGTAAAGATAGTCTCTTCAATGAATGGTGCTGGGAAAACTGGAAAGCCATATGCAAATGAATGAAACTAGATTATAGTTTGTCCCCATGTACAAAGGTTAATTCAAAATAGATCAAAGACCTAAGTATAAGACCCAAAACAATAAGTTAGATAGAAGAAAATATAGGTACCAAACTTATGGACCTTGGTTGTAGAGAACATTTTATTAACTTGACCCCAAAGGTAAGGGAAATAAAGGCAAAAATAAATGAATGGGACTATATCTAACTAGAAAGCTTCTGCACAGCAAAAGAAGCTGACAACAAAACAAAGAGGCAGCCAGCCAGATGGGAGATGATATTTGCCAACAGTAGCCCCAACAAAGGTTTAATTTCCAAAATATATAAAGAACTCGTAAAACTCAACACCAAACAACCCGATCAAAAAGTGGGCAGAGGATCTGAAAATACACCTCTCCCAAGAAGACATACGAACAGCCAATAGATATATGAGAAGATTAGGGAAATGCAAATCAAAACTTCAATGAGATGCCACCTCACACCTGTTAGAGCGGCCATTATCAATAAGGCAACCAATAACGAGTATTGGAGAGGTTGTAGAAAAAACATTAATTGCTGGTGGGAATGTGCATTGGTACAACCATTATGGAAATCAGTATGCCGATTCCTCAAAAAATTAAGAACAGAGTTTCCATAGGACCCAGCAATCCCTCTCCTGGGAAGATACCCGAAAAACCCGAAATCATGTATTCACAAAGGTATATGCACCCCTATGTTCATTGCAGCATTATTCACGGTGGCCAAGACATGGAAACAACCAAAATGTCCTGCTATAGAGGACTGGATAAAGATGTGGTACATATACACAATGGAATACTACTCAGCCATAAGAAAGGATGGAATACTGCCATTTGCAACAACATGGATGGGCCTTGAGAATATTATGCAAAGTGAAATAAGTCAGTCAGAAAAAGCTAAGTGCCATATGATTTCACTCATATGTGGGACATAAAACTGAACTCGTGAACACAAATAGCAGTGTGGTGGCTGCCAGCGGGGAGGGGGTCCTAATATCTGATGACAGGAGATTTGACTTTCAGTGGTGGGCATACGGTGCAAAACACAGATCTTATAATATAGAAACCCACACCTGAAACCTATATGGCCATCTAGACTAATGTCATCCCAATAAATTGAATTATATGCATATTGGATAGATTTATCCTATTTACATGTGTTAATTTGGATTTATTGATTATATTTCTATTGATTGCATGTCAAAATATACTTTGGATATATGGGGGTAAATAAAATTATTATTAAAATGAATTTTACCTGTTTCTTTCACTTTTGTAGTGTGACTACTAGAAAAAATGTATACATATATAGTTCCCTATATATCCTTACTGTGCAGCCCTGTACCAAAGGGTCAGATCTAAGCTTTAAGACGTTCACCCTGGAGGCATCTTTGAGGGAGGGCTGGAATGGAGAGGCCCACTAGGAAACAGATGCCATTGTCCAGAATTGTATGAAGGGGAAGACTTGGATTTTTTTGTGACAAGGTAGAATCCAGAAGGGATGTGCTTTTTCATGTCCCTCAGCTCAACTGCTAAATAAACACAAAATTACTAGTAACAGGCAATGCTTATCACACCCTGACCACCCTGGTAGGTCAAGGTTATCAGCACTGCACAAGCCACACCTGACGAGCTTTTTCCCCAATGTAATTCTCATCAAAAAAAAAAATCTCCTAAAAGTCTCATGAGACCACTTGTTATAATTCCCATTTTACAGATGAATAAACTGAGGTTTAGAAAGTTATATCACTGGCTCAGGAACATGTGACTTACAAGTAACACGGAGAGGATTTGAACCCATGACTTTGATTCCAGAAGCATGAGAGCCAGGATATACTCTCTGGGCTGCTTCTGCAAGCAAATGGGACGGGCTAGCATGTCCCAGAAGGGGAACATCAGAGAAATCCCCCCCGCACCCCCACACAGGGAGCCTGTTCTCTCCTGCACTGCAGCATTAGCCCAGCTATGAATGGCCTGTTTGCACCACGAGTTTGAGTAAGGAACAATTCACCTAGAGCTGTGGTCTGGGGTTCACCAGAATCACAGGAATCAATTGCTCAAAGATGACTTCCAAGACCAGCATGCTCTGCGATGACTATAAGATTCAACCAACAGAAACATCAGGTTTCACAGCCTGGTCCTGCTACTGTCCCTCTCCAAGCCTTGGTTTCATTGACTAGAAAATGGGGGTAAAAATAAGCAGCAGTGGTCAGAACTAGAGACACTGGAGGGAAAGGCAGGTCTGTGCCTGGCACAGGGCAGTTGCTCAGAAAAAACTGCCTCTGACAATAGCTCGTTGAGTCCCCATGATAACCCTCTGGGGTGGAGGGTTTGAGCACGATTTAATGGGAATGATAATTCTCAGTTTTCAGATGCGGAACCTGAGGCACAAAGACATTAAGAAACTTGTCTAAAAAACGAAAGAAATTTGTCTAAGTCCCTAATTTCTAAATATTAGAAGTGGGATTCTAACCTAGGCTGGCTGGTTCCAGGCTCTGAATCTTATCCACAGATGATGCTGAACACTTCGTAAAGCCTTTCTTTTCTTTTTCTTCTTTTTAAATGACACTTTTTATCTTAGTTTCTTGAGGGATGAAAGGTACCTGCTCTACCTGCCAAAGACTTTTATTTAAAAACATATTTCATTGATTTTTTTACAGAGAGGAAGGGAGAAGGATAGTCAGAAACATTGATGAGAGAGAAACATCAATCAGCTGCCTCCTGCACACCCCCCACTGGGGATGTGCCCACAACCAAGGTACATGCCCTTGACCGGAATCGAACCCGGGACCCCTCAGTCTGCAGGCAGATGCTCCATCCACTGAGCCAAACCGGTTAGGGCCTGCTAAAGCCTTTGATAGCAGCCAATGGGATAGTCACATAGCTGCCTCTGTGTGGGTACTGGCCATTGCCAAGAAAGCACCAGGCAGGTGACTGCTGTGACGACTCAGGGCCTCGGGGTGCTTGGGGAGATGAAAATAAGCACTGGACCACCACCAGCAGCAGCAGCACCACCACCACCACCACCACCATCCCGCACCCCAGTCCCTGCCAGACAGAAGCCCAGAGCTGCCTCCTGAGGTATATCCTGGGCTCACTGGTGGCTGCTATGCTTCTGACCGCTGGGCAATGCTGCCCTCTGGTGGAGACAATCAGGCATTCAGCCTTGACCTTCCTGAGCCCCACTCCCAGGACTGGCTTCCAGGCCTTGCCTTGGGGGCAGACACCCCACAAGCTCAGTCCCCAAGGGGACCCCAGTAAGCCAGACCTCTCCATCCTCTAGGTTCCCTTGACATCTGGGATTGCCCATCCCGGAATCTTTCAGCTGTGGGGCTGTGCTAAGAACCCTTAGCAAAGAGAGCTCACCCCAACAGCTTGGGTCCCCAGTCTCCTTCAATCAAGCACTAGGCCACTGCACCCAGCTCCGTGTTCTGAGCTGTGTATTCACTCCTGAAATGTGGTTGCATTGCACTGGAATCATCCAATACTATATGATGGCACTGATACAGGAAGTGTTCCTGTCATTTTTCTGTTTGTGTGGTACAGGAGGAAAAATGAGACATTGGCTCATCCCCAGTATTATTCACGACTCTTCCTCACGCACGTCATTCTGTAAAGACACACCTGAAAGAGAAACTGGAACTCTGTTTTATTAAGGGAAATTATGGACTAGAAAGAGGCTAATGAATCTTTTTTTAAATGCACTTTCAATTGATAAGAAAAAGTTGACAGTCAAGACCCTGGAAACAAGAATCTCATTGCTGAGCACTCAGCGCCCCCTTGTGGCTGCTCTCATAACAGCAACCCCAGCCTCCACTCAGCTTACCCTCATTCACCATTGAAGACTCATTGAGAATTTATCAGCACCTTGTATCTCAATGAACTTTGTAATGAAATCTCTCCCACTACCTCCATTAATTTTAGCATAAAAAATGGTGGGAAAACAGATGAATGGGCCCGAGCAATAAATGTGAATGTACAAGTATTCTTTATTCATAACTGTCCAAGATATTCTAACCTTAGCCCTGGGATCCTAAAGGCCACGTAGAGATTTAACTAATTATCTCTTTTAAAATGTGTGTGTGCTATTTCTCTTCTCTACCTTCTCTCCCTGGTAAGATACCTTTCTATTTCTCAGGCACCAGCTACTCTGACTGGGCAGGTACGCTTCAGCGGGAAGAGGTAGGGGACAGAGAACACAGCCAATGAGTGTCCCAGCCAGGGCTGGGGCTCCAGGCTCCTGGGACTTGCCCACTTATGAACATTGGTTGCATTTGTCCTTTTGTGGGGAACCTGTGCTAAGTTCAAAGACCAATTAAAATACTACCTAAGCCTCCACCTTCAAAAGAATGAGAGCCTTGTGAATGCATTTCTAATGACATCAAAATGTGCTAACTGGTGACATCAAAAGTAAAGCTGCAACCGTGGGAAATATTACACAGGAGAGTTATATCCACAGCCAGTTTCAGAGTCTGACTCTTTTGGGCTCTAAGGAGTGAAAAGATACGACCCCCTCCATAATCATTTAAAAATAAACAGAATAGAAAAATAAGTAATAAAATCCCCCAAAAGTTGTCTCTTTCCCATTGTGACTTTTTTGAAATTATTCTATATTTAAAAAAATCAAAAAACATATTTTGAAAAATTAGGACTGACTCTGTTTCAATAATGCCTGACATAAAAAACACATACTTAGTCTGCCTATTGGTGAATCCAGCTCCTGGATACATATAAGATAAGGCTTTGTCCTTATCATTTAGGTATCCAGAAAATCAAGAAAACTTCCCTGAGAAAACGACAGCCCCTCTGAGAGCTTCAAGATGAGAAGGCGGTGGGGGAAAGGAGGACAACCAAGTAAAACTGGGCAGAGGACGTGCAAAGATCCTGAGGCAGCCTGGAGCTTGGGAAAGCAACGGCCGGAGGGAAACAGGTAAGGCTGGAACAGGACAATAGGGACTGTGTTACAATAGGAGGCTGCGGCTGCGCCACCTTGAGGAGTTTTGTCCTTCTCCTCCAAGCAATGGAAAGCCGTGGAAGGGTTTTGATTAACAGGGCATGGTGACAAAATCCAGGTGGTGTTACAGAAAAGCCACACTGGCTGTGTGTGGAGAACGGAGAGGAAGGAGGACAAGAGTTCAATTAGAGACATTAGTCGCCACGAGAAATGATAGGAGCTTTGACTGAGGATGTGGCGGTCAAAATAGAGAAAAGTGAATCGATTTCAGAGGTACTTTAGATTGGGTGCAAGTACCAGGCAAAAGGAGATGTCAGGGTGCCTCTTAGGTTTCTGGCTTGCTGGAACGGAATGAATAGGGGTGTCATTCATGGGGACAGGGTGTGGCAGAAAGTGTAAGTGAACCCCAGGATCTATTTTCTGCTTCTCGCTTTAGTGATGGCATCAGAGTCCTCTCGTGGGCCGCTTGAGATCTTCGCCGGCTCCTCTACCTCTTGCTCCAGCCTCGCGCCTTGCGAGGGCTCTGGTGGGCCCGAGCGGAGGGCGTACAGTCTGACCTCTGACCCAGGCCAAGCCTGTTCCCCTCCCTCTCTGGGGCTTCCCTGTTGATATCACTGGGGCCCACATCCTTGCATGGAAATACAGAAAAACCAACGAGTTAGCACCCCGGGGGACAAACTTTTGACCTGCATTCTCTCCCAAAGGGCAGGTTCTTAGGGAAAGTTCACACAACTGGACGTAGTCATGCCACCGGTTGGGCGATTCATAGTTGCATCCTCCCACCTCTCTCCCTCCTGTCTACCTGCTCCCCTAACCTTCCTTTACGAAACCTTCCTCACTCTTCCTTTACGAAAACAATCGCACTGAGGAAGTGTCGTAGTTTTGTGGTGCAAAAATACTTACTGCCACTCCCGGACATCTGCCTCGGCCATGTGACTTGCTCAGGCCAAGGACATGGGTCCCTTCCAGGCAGAAGTTGGGGTCCCAGTGCTCTGCCAAGAGATTCCTTCTGACCCCCACCCCCACCCCCCCGCCAATTTAAGCTGGTAACATCCTTCCAGACACAACTCCCCCATCTCCTACCGCTAACCAGCCCATCCCCCCACACACTCTGGAACACCCGCTCCCTCCTTCCAACCTACACCAATCATTTTCTTACAAATTACTTGGCAGGGAGTTAATGTGCTGCCTGTCAGCCTCTCTCCTGTGGTGCTTTGAGGCCTGTCTAAATCTCATTATTAAAACATTTATACTTTTTTTTCTAACGTCCTTACACAGGCGCATAGAGCAGCACATTGCTTAGCGCAGGTTAATTCCAGTCAAGCAGAACGGCCTTGTTTATCTTACGGCCTGCCCACCTCCAACCACCTTTTGACCTAAGAGGAAAAGTGTCCATTTCCTCTCGCTGGACCTAATCGTTCTGTTATGAAAAGCAACCTCTTGGCTTCGGAGGCCTCGCCCTGGCTCGGGATTTTAGGGGAGAACACAATAGACCGGCCTTGCAAGGGCTCCCCTCGCTGCCTCTTCTGCTGTGGTCCTCACCCTCAAAAGCCCCGTAGCCCTTGCACCCCACACCCCTCAGGGGAAGTGTGGGTAGCTATGGAGGAGAAAATTGTGTCTGGAGCATCGGCTCCTTCCAACCTCCTGACCAAGTCCTCCCCTCTCACCCTTCCCTGCGAACATTTTCGAAGATTCGGTGGAAAAAAGAAAAGCAACGAGAGAAAGTGTTATCTGCTGAGTACCCGCCGTGCCGGCTTTGGGCCAGGAGTGGCGCACAAGCGCATGTGAGCCTCAGCGGTTCTCAACCTGTGGGTCGCCAACAATGAACACACACCCTGCATGTCAGACATTTACCTTACGATTCATAACAGCAGCAACATTACAGTGATGAAGTAGCCACAAAAATAATGTTATGGTTGGGGGTCACCACCACAGGAGGAACTGTATTTCGGGGTCGGGGCATTAGGAAGGTTGAGAAGAACCCGGCAGGTGAGTGCTCCCCATTTTCCAGACAGGAAGTGCCGGAGATCACTCCGCAGCGATGGCCAGCGTCCCCTGGTGTGTGGCAGCCCTGGGGCCCTGTCTGTCTCCTCTGAACCAGCCTGCTCTGTGGTCCTGGTCCCCGTCACACACGGAGAACGGCGAGGCCCGCAGAGGGTTCCACCGGCACGCTCCAGTCCTCCCGCTCGGGCTGGCCGACTTGGCACCGCCCAGCTGGCAGGGGCATGCTCATGCCAGGCGGCTGCATAATCAGAGCCTAAGCCTTAACCACTATCATTTTAAAGATTCTTATTCACAGTTATTTCAGCTAATTAAGCCTTGAGCGCTGGCCAGCTCGGCTTGCGTCTCAGACAGGGAAGGCAGGCGCGCTCTTGCTGGGGAGGCTGAGCGCAGAACTGGCAGCTTGTGAGGACTGAGGGCCTGGCGAGGGGGCAGAGGGAGCTGGGAGGGGCGCTCCACCTCCACAGCCACCTACCTCCAGGGGACACGAGCGTTCTGGTCCCTTCCGTGGGAAAACCCTCCGACTTCTGTCACCTCTCAGGAATGGGCAGCCTTCCTCCATAGGGCCAGCAGGGAGGAGCAGGACTGGCTTGAAGCCTGGGGTGAGAGCCAGGAGCAGTGAGTTGGAGTCCAGGCAACCTGGCTTAGATGTGAGGGTTAGAGAACCCCCCAGCCCGCCCCCGCCCCTGCCCAGTTCTCTTCGTATAGCCCCGTGATGGCGAACCTTTTGAGCTCGGCGTGCCAGCATTTTGAAAAACCCTAACTTAACTCTGGTGCCGTGTCACATATAGAAATTTTTTGATATTTGCAACCATAGTAAAACAAAGACTTATATTTTTGATATTTATTTTATATATTTAAATGCCATTTAACAAAGAAAAATCAATCAAAAAAATGAGTTCGCGTGTCAGAGGTGAGGGAGAAAATGTCATAGGTTCGCCATCACTGGTATAGCCTAATGCTGTGCCAGTCGAGACACTAGCCTTGAGCCAAAGGTAGATATTTAAATGCAAATTTTAATTAATTAGATTTAAATTAGATTAAGATGCCGGTGCCCCTGTCACACAAGCCACATTTCGAGCACTCAGCAAGGCTGCTGTATTGGGCAGGGCAGTTAGAACACCACCCTTATCACGGAAAATTGCACTGGCCAGCACCGCCCTGGGACAGGGAGGAGCACCATCACCCACTCAGGGATGCAAATCCCACACTGGGGTTTACTGGCATCCTGGCCTCTTTACACTCAGTTTTCTCATCTATAAAATGGGAATGACAGGGCTCACAGAGGTGTTGTAGAGGCTAAGTAAGAAGTACGTGTCTCAAACACTAGCTGTGGATTGCAGGCTGCAGTGAGTCTTTGGGGCCGTGTAGCCACACTGACACCAGGCTTGCGTGTCACACGGCAACGTCACAATTGCTATCTCCTTTGTTTTATGATCACTCTCTGGGGCAGGCGGGGCTTGAAGATCAGCTGAGCCATTTCATAGAAAAACAACCCAGAGGTCACGTGATTTCCCAACTGCCTGGCGGAAGTAGGATTTGAACTAAGTTAATAATTCAACTAACGTGTCTGGATTCTTTCATGCCCAATGTCTTGAAACGCCATGAAATGTCCTACTTCAGCCTTAGCCGAACCTCATGAGGTCAGGAACCCTCCTCCATGTTAAGAGTGAGTCCCTGAGAGGAAAGCAAGCCCAATGCTCGCTAGCAGCTCCGCAGCATTCACTCTGGGCCAGGCGCGGTTCTGAGCACTCGTCCAGTCTCCACAAAAACACAGTGGCGCAGGTACACTTAACGGTCTCCATTTTAGCGATGAGGAAGGCGAAGCACAGAGAGGGTAAGTAAGCTTCCCAAAGTCACACAGCAGGGAAGTGGTGGGGTCCAGACATGAGAACCCAGGAAGGCTGACTCCAACCTGGTTTGCCAGATCTCACACTTCACTCACCCACACCCCAGTTCAGGTGAAGGAAGCAGGGGGACGGCAAAGTCCCTTAGCTCCAAGGGCCTCTGTTTTTCTCTCCCTCTGTCTTCTATCGCCTGTGCTCCGGGAGAGGAGAGTATAGGCTCTTCCTAAGGGGCTGCAGGAGGAGGTTTTCTGTTCCTCTCACTCTCACCCTGTATTCGTTTGCTCGAGCTGCCATCACCAACACCACAGACTGGGGAGCTTAAACAACAGACGTTAATTTTCCAGGAGTTCCGAGGCGAGAAGTCCAAGATCAAGGTGTCAGCAGGGTGGGTTCCTCCGGAGGCCTCTCTCCTTGGCTTGTGGATGGCTGCCTTCTCCCTGTGTCTTCCCATGGTCTTCCCTCTGACTTGTCTGTATCCAAGTGCCCTCTTCCTTTAGGACACCGGTCATATGGGTTAAGGCGCACCCTTAAAACCTCATTTAAATGTATGACCTCTTCAATGACCAGATCTCTGAAGGCCACATCCTGAGATCCGGGGGTTAGGACTCTAGCATGAATTTGACAGTGAGGGGACACAGTTCAGCCCAGACCACCCCTGCCTCTCTCCTTGCTGCCTGATCCATTGCTTGGCCACCTGGAGGAGCCAGTGGGAACAGGGGTTCCGGCCACAGGGCTGTGGGGAGCTGGTGGACGGGGAGGAGGGAGAAGGGAAGTAAAACTCTGGGAACCAAATGACAGCCTAAATCACTCTCCACCAGGGACAATGGAACCAGGTGGGGGGGGGGGAGCCATTATTAATCATTGTTGTTTATAACCAACTACCTTCTCTCTGCCAGGCCCTTGAACACATCATCTCCTTTAATCCCCTCAACAAGCCTGCAAAGTGGCTATCGTTACCCCGTTTTATAAGAAAAACGATACTCTGGGTGATTTAAAAACTATCTGGGTGGAGAAGCCACGGAGCTAAGGATCCTGGGTCCGAACTGCACAGTTAAACAGCCAAATATTCCGTTCTGTTTGTTTGGTTGCCTTGCTCCTTCCCAGCACAGAACCTTCGCAGATGCTGTTCCCTCCCGCCAAGGATGCTTCCCATCCCCACGGCCCATTTGTCCCAGGAAATTCCTGCTCTGCCTACAGCTACTCCAGCTCTACTCAAGCCCTTCGCCTTCGGAAGAGCCTCCCCTAGATCCCAAAGCCAAGTCTAGTCCCTTGGTTATTTGTTGTCTGTGGGGAACCGATATAGGGTTAAGCCTCGGACTGACCTGTTAGCAAAATCCCAAACAAGTCTTCTTCCGAGTCTGAAACAACCCAATCTGAGAGGTGGCCGCTGATTTACACGCACTGTCATTTAAAAAATAAAAATGGGGGAATTTGCCGGAAGCCGGACCACCCTTGCTGCTTGACACAGTCGCTGCAGGGAAGAAACATCTGCACAGCTCATGTTTCAAGGGACCTGGCGTATATGGCATATGGTTTGCTCCCCCTCTTAGCGCTATGTGTTTTAACCAGGACCACCTCCCCGAGAAAGGTTGTTTCCCCAGGTTAGGGGTTACCAGGACTAAGGAAGAGAATAAATCAGTAAATGCCCCTAGTGTTACAGAAATACCATGTACTACTTATGAAGAACTTGGACTAAGACTGTTGGCAATAAATTTGGGACTTGTTGGGCCCACATCCCCAGGGGTCTGCCCACCAGGGAAAGCACCAAAGCCTATACCCCTGGAGATCCACCAACACAGGGCAGTGCCAGGGAAGGCAAGCAGTGGGGCTGGGAGGACATAACCTTTACTGGGTAGGATAATCTCCTTCAGTCACTTCCTTGTAGCCTATCAGTAGAGCAGTGACCTTGGAATAGCCCTTGTAATGGAACACAGAGATTAACCTAGAAAAGATTAAAATCAACAGAACTAGATAGAGACAGGATTTTTGGCAAAGGTCAGATAAGAAACAAGGAACTGTAGGACGTTACCCAAAACATACCATGATGTGATTATAGAAGCATGCTTATAGGATCAAATGGTGTAAATACAGATGTAATAGGAGAATAAAAAAAGAACCTCGCTATGCTGATCAACTGAACGCTGTCTCCATGTCATTCCTTCTTCACCAACTCCGTCCACACCTTTGGGAACCCCTGGACCTGCTGAGGCTGGACCCCAACAGTTGTCATAGCACCAGGCCCTGTCCTGCTTCCATAGGTTTTTCTGAGAAACATGGTGTCCCCACTCCCACTAGACTATCAGCTCCTTGAGGTCAGGCCCCATATCTGTAATCACCACTACATCCCCAGTGCCTAGCACAGTATATGGCAAAGAGTAGACGCTCAGTAAATACCGCCTGAAATAAATATTTCCTCCTCTCAGTAGCCGTACTTACCACCCCTCTTGCTCTGAGATCCAGCCTACCTTTCTCCGGTTAGTTCCCAGGACAGTGTTTGTGAAAGGGCGAGGAGTACGCCCTCCACCTTGCCCCAGGGTAAGGGCTATGGTACTCACGCCTGGCCAATCAGCAGGGCCCACAGTCCTTTCTCCTCCCCTTACCCCAAACCCCTATAAAACCTCTCTCCACACAGAGTTCTCTCTCTCTCGGCCACTGGAGCTTACCGTTGCATCGGTGAGTGTGGCAGGGGAGCCAAACCTAGGTTTGAAATGAATGACTCTTTGCTTTTGCATCGGACTCGCTGGCTCCCTGTGGGTTCTTGGGAATCATGAAATCTGGGCACAACATTTGGGGGCTCGTCCGGGATTCCCAAGACCATCGAGGGACCCCCGATCCGAAGAGTCTGACTGACGGCGGTATGTGTGTGTCGTTGTATGTTCTGTTCAGTGTGAGCTCGTTTCTGGAATCTGTAATTGCCTGAGGGGTCTAGGCGGACGCGCCGTGAACGACCACAGGCGGGGGAGAGTTGGAAGACGTTCCGCTCCCCAGGAGGGATGGATATGCCCCTCACCCCAGGAGGGATGGATATGCCCCTCACGAGGGATGGATATGCCCCTCGCGGATTTGAGACGAGGCAGGTCGCTCCTGCCGGTTTGGCGTAAGGCCAACGTCTAGTTGCTTCCATGGAGTTGGAAGCCTGTATTTTCGGGCCCTGTTTAGTGTTCTGTGTTTATACTGGACGGATGTTATGGGATGGACTCAGACTGCTCCTTTGGGTATTGTGATTGATCATTTCAAGGATTCTTTTGCAGGTTTGAATGTATGTTGGCTGTCCTGGAAGGGAGCTGTGTGGGGTGACCCCCAAAAGTAAAGGGTGCCTAGCTGCCAAGAGGGCAGGGGCCCAACTGGGCAGGGAAGGGTGCCCATCAGGTTTTGGTCTCTTTTGAGAGACAGCTAACAGTTGGCAGCCTGTAATACTGTCTTGCAGGCCTGAGTCACCATGCCATGTCAGGGGTAGTAAAGCTGGAAAAAGCCTGTTTAGAATAGAAGGTCTGAGGCATGGTTATGCATAGAAAGAAGGTTTTATGCCAACAGTTACTGTTTTGTTTTAAATCCATGAAAAGGAATTAGCAAGGAAAGTCAGAAAATCTTAGAGTAGATCAGTCCTTATGTAATTCCTCCGAAATCTGGCAATGCTAAATAAGTACGTTTCTTTGCATAGATTCAGTAAGACTGGTTCCTAATAGTGGTTTTATTAACGGAAAACTTTGACTGGAGTATCATGTTTCGAAGAGCCCTATCTGAGCTCTA